CCACGGCACTCTACCCAGGGGGACAGCTTGAGGCTCTGTCTCAAAAAAAAAAAAAAAAAAGAGATTATGTCTTGCTATGTTGCCCAGGCTGGTCTTGAACTCCTGGACTAAGGTGCTCCTACCACTCCAGCCTCCCAAAGTGCCAGAGTTATAGGCATAAACCACTGTGTGTGACCCGAACTGCATATTTGAAAATGGTTTGAAATGGGCCAGGTGTTGTAGCTCACATGTGTAATCCTAGCACTTTGGGAGGCTGAGGCAGGAGTATTGTTTAAGCCCAGGAGTTTGAGACCAGCTTAGACAATAGCAAGAACCTGTCTCTTCTGAAACAAACAAATAAACTTAGCTGCTTGTGGTAGTGCATCCCTGTAATCCCAGCTACTTGTGAAGTTGAGGCAAGAGAATCACTTACACCCAGGAGTTTGAGGATCCTGTGAGCTATGAAGATGCCACTGCACTCTAGCTCCAGCAACAGAACCAAACCATGTCTCCAAAAATAAATAAACAAATTAAACCAATAAATAATGTAAATGGTTAAAATGGAAAATTTTATGTTACATACAAATTTTACTATGAAATAAAATTCCCTTTAGTATGTTTTTCAGAATGCTAACTGAGGACATCTGTTTTCTGGATAGCCACTTCTGGGGCCTGCTGACTTTGCCACAGAACTCAGAAGTGTATGGAACGTAAGGACCAAGGACTCAGCCTCTCAGGAAGGAAGGAACCTTAGGCCTTTTGAGAATTGTGGTGAGATCTTCACTCTTCTTAGGATGGCCGGGGTAAAAAGCAACCTTGGAAACATGTCCTTCCACACTGAAGGATCCCCAAATCCTCCCTGGGCCCTGGAGGGAGAAGCCAACCTCTCTCCCGCAAGACGAGACCTGAATGCAGAGCCCACAAGCGCCACCTCACAAAGTGCTGTAGACCTCAGGGCCCTCCGTCAGGAGAGGAGGAAGATGATAGAGAAGGACATACTCCAGAAAGTAACCCGGAATGCCCAAGACCCAGCCAGCAGTGGCCACAGTGGGGTGTGGGAGGTGCCCTGCCACGCTGCAGAGTCAGCCCCCAGAACAGAGCTGCTTCCAGAGGAGCCTCAGGCAGGACTACCAGTGCTCTCACCCCAGGTAGGCATCTCCACTGCCCTGCTCTTCCTTAGGCCTACACCCTGCGGTGTGGCCATCTTCCCAGTGTGCTAGACTAGAACCAGCTGGCTTGTAAGTACCTTAGGCCCAGGTTCCCAGGTTCCCAGGTCCACGGGCTGGTGCATCTAGCTCAGTCGGGATCCTGCTAGGGATGTTAGGGAGAGGTAATGCTGTGGTCCCCAACCCCCAGGTTGTGGACCAGTACTGGTCTGTTGAATTTAGGAACCAGGCTACACAGCAGGAGGTGAGCAGTGGGTGAGCAAGCAAAGCTTTATCTGTATTACAGTTTTTCCCCATCACTCATATCACTGCCTGAGCTTCACCTCCTGTCAAATCCCCCTGCCCTCATCTATGGAAAAATTGTCTTCCATGAAACCAGTCTCTGGTGCCATAAAGGTTAGGGGCCACTGAGGTAACAAGCCCCTGGAAGGATAAACAGAATACCCCCTTCTTTCAGAAGAGAGAAAAAAAACGAATCCTAATTAGTACATTTATACATAAATATATATGGCCACACAGAACCAGATTCTTTTTTTTTTTTTTTTAATTTATTGTTGGGGATTCATTGAGGGTACAAGAAACCAGCTTTCACTGATTGTATTTGTTAGGTAAAGTCCCTCTTACAATCGTGTCTTGGCCTAAAAAGGTGTGGCACGCACCAAGACCCCACCTCCCTCCCTCCTTCCCTCTCTCTGCTAATCCCTTCCCCACTCCTCCCTCCTTTCTCTCTCTGCTCACCTCCTTCCCTTGTCATTAATTGTCCTTATATCAAAATTGAGTACATAGAATTCATGCTTCTCCATTCTTGTAATGCTTTACTAAGAATAATGTGTTCCATTTCCATCCATGTTAATACAAAGGCTGTAAAGCCTCCATATTTTTTAATGGCTGAATAGTATTCCATGGTATATATATACCACAGCTTGTTAATCCATTCCTGGGTTGGTAAGCATTTAGGCTGTTTCCACATTTTGGCGATTGTAAATTGAGCTGTAATAAACAGTCTAGTGCAATTGTCCTTATGATAAAAGGATTTTTTTCCTTCTGGGTAGATGCCCAGTAATGGGATTGCAGGATCAAATGGGAGGTCTAGCTTGAGTTCTTTAAGGGTTCTCCATACTTCCTCCCAAAAAGGTTGAATTAGTTTGCAGTCCCACCAGCAGTGTAACATCCATGCCAGGCATCTGCAGTTTTGAGATTTTGTGATGTGGGCCATTCTCACTGGGGTTAGATGGTATCTCAGTGTGGTTTTGATTTGCATTTCTCTAATAATTAGGGATGATGAGCATTTTTTAATATACTTGTTCGCCATTCATCTGTCTTCTTTAGAGAAGGTTCTATTCATGTCTCTTGCCCATTGATATATGGGATTGTTGGCTTTTTTCATGTGCATTAATTTGAGTTCTCTATAGATCCTAGTTATCAAGCTTTTGTCTGATTCAAAATATGCAAATATCCTTTCCCATTGTGTAGGTTGTCTATTTGCTTTGGTGTTGTCTCCTTAACTGTACAGAAGAAGCTTTTCAGTTTAATTAAGTCCCATTTGTTTATTGTTATTGTTGCAGTTGCCACACAGTCTTCTTCATGAAGTCTTTCCCCAGGCCAATATCTTCTAGTGTTTTTCCTATACTTTCTTGAGGATTTTTATTGTTTCATGCCTTAAATTTAAGTCCTTTATCCATCTTGAATCAATTTTTATGAGTGGGGAAAGGTGTGGGTCCAATTTCAGTCTTTTACATGTGGCTATCCAGTTCTCCCAGCACCATTTATTAAATAGGGAGTCTTTCCCCCAAGGTATGTTCTTATTTGGTTTATCAAAGATTAGGTGGTGGGGCTCAGTGCCTGTGGCTCAAGTGGCTAAGGCGCCAGCCGCATACATCTAAGGTGGTGGGTTTGAATCCAGCCAGGGCCCACCAAAACAACAATGATGGCTGCAACCAAAAAATAGCCAGGTGTTGTGGTGAGTGCCTGTGGTCCCAGCTACTTGGGAGGCTGAAGCAGGAGACTCGCTTGAGCCCAGGAGTTGGAGGTTGCTGTGAGCTGTGATGCCATGGCACTCTACCCAGGGGGACAGCTTGAGGCTCTGTCTCAAAAAAAAAAAAAAAAGATTAGGTGGTTGTAAGATGTTAGTTTCATTTCCTGTTTTCTATTCCATTCCAAATGTCTATGTCTCTACTTTTGTGCCAGTACCATGCTGTCTTGACCACTGTGGCTTTGTAGTACCGAAAATCTGGGATGGTGATGCCCCTGGCTTTGTTTTTATTACTAAGAATTGCCTTAACTATACAGGGTTTTTTTTGGTTCCATACAAAACGCAGAAACATTTTTTCCAAATCTTGAAAGTACGATGTCGGTATTTTAATAGGGATGGCATTGAATAGGTAGATTGCTTTGGGAAGTGTGGACATTTTAACAATGTTGATTCTTCCCAGCCATGAGCTTGGTATGTTCTATTTGTTAATATCCTCTATTATTTCCTTTCTTAGGGTTTCATAATTTTCTTTATAGAGGTCCTTCACCTCCTTTGTTAGGTATATTCCTAGGTATTTCATTTTCTTTGAAGCTATGGTGAAGGGAATTGTGTCCTTAATTAGCCTCTCCTCTTGGCTGTTATTGGCGTATACAAAGGCATCTGACATGTGGACATTGATTTTATATCCTGAGACATTACCGAATTTTTTGATGACTTCCAAGAGTCTTGTGGTTGAGTCTTTGGGGTTCTCTAAGTATAAGATCATATCGTCAGCCAAAAGGGAGAGTTTGACCTCTTCTACTCCCATTTGGATGCCCTTTATTTCCTTGTCTTGCCTAATTGTATTGGCTAGAACCTCCAGCACTATGTTGAATAGTAATGGTGACAGAGGACAACCTCGTCTGGTTCCACTTCTAAGAGGAAAAGTTTTCAGTTTTTTGCCATTCAGTAAAATATTAGCTGTGGATTTGTCATAGATAGCTTCAATCAGTTTAAGAAATGTGCCACCTATGCCTATACTCTTCAGTGTTCTAATTAGAAAAGGATGCTGGATTTTGTCAAATGCTTTTTCTGCATCTTTTGAGAAGATCATATAGTCTCTGGTTTTACTTCTGTTGATATGGTGAATAACATTTATAGACTTGCGTACATTAAACCAACCTTGCATCCCTGGGATGAAACCTACTTGATCATGATGTATGATTTTTTTGATGATAAGCTGTAATCTATTGGCTAAGATTTTGTTGAGAATTTTTGCATCTATATTCATTAGTGAAATTGGTCTGAAATTCTCCTTTTTAGTTAGGTCTTTTCCTGGTTTTGGTATCAGGGTGATGTTTGATTCATAGAACGTATTAGGGAAGATTACTTCCTCCTCAATTTTTTGGAATAATTTCTGGAATACGGGAATAAGCTCTTCCTTGAAGGTTTAATAAAATTCTGGTGTGAAGCCATCCGGACCAGGGCATTTTTTGGTCGGAAGATTTTTTCATTGTTTCTTTAATCTCAGTGCTTAAAATTGGCCTGTTCAGGAGCTCTTTTTCTTCTTGGCTAAGTCTAGGGAGAGGGTGTGATTCCAAATATTGATCCATTTCCATCACATTGTCAAATTTCAGAGCACAGAGTTTCTGTTAGTATTCAGAGATGATCTCTTATATCTCTGTGGCATCAGTTATTTCCCCTTTATCATTTCTGATTGAGGTTACTAGAGATTTTACTTTTGTATTTCTAGTTAGTCTGGTCAAAGGTTTATCTATTTTATTTATTTTTTCAAAAAACCAACTCCTTATTTCATTAATTTTCTTTCTTTCTTTCTTTCTTTCTT